GGGGTCGGGGGGATGCTGTGGGGTCGGGGGAGATGCCCCGGGCTCGTGGGGGACCCTGCAGGACCGGGGGTCCCGGGTTGTCCCCTCCTCCCCGGAGCCGCCGCCAAATTCCCGGAGATTTTTTGGGAGGGGAACGGAGCCGCACCGGTGGCGGCGGTGGCGCGGGGGGGTCCAGCCTGTCCAGCCCCTCGCAGGGCTCGGTACCAGGGGAGGGATCTCAGCCCACGGGAGGGGTCCCAGCCCCAAAGGAACGGGGATCGCGCTGGAAATCGGAGCGGTAGCACCGGGAGGGGTCCCGGGCGCGCCGGGCTCGGTGGCCAGCGGACGCGGCGCGGTGGCGAGCAGCGACTCTGTCGGGGCAGCCGCGTCCCCGGGACCCTCCCCCCGGTCCGTCCCGTCGSGGGTCCCCGCTCCCGGCGGCACCGGCAATACCTACGGCTCTAGCGGCGGCTCGGTCCGGGCGGCGGCTCCGTCCTCATGGGCGGCGAGCGGGCGCTGCTTCCCGAGGGGACCCCGAGGGACCCGCGCGGCTCCCCAGGGACGGGGCACCCACTGGGCCGGGCGAGCAGGAATGGCCGGGTCCCAGCCCGGCCGGCGGCTCTTCCCTCCGCCCCCCCGCCCAGCTCCACCCCCGGCCCGGTGATTTTAACCCTTGGAGGCAGAGCCGCGGCCCCGCCGCTCCACAGGAGCCGGCTCCGGTCCCAGGATCCGGCGGATGAAAGCGGAGGGAGGGGACGGGAAGTTCGCAGCAGACACCGCAAACAGGGGGGTAATTAAAGAAGAAAGCAGCAACCGCCTCCCTCCGTCCCTCCCGCGCCCGTGGCCGCCTCCCCCCGCCACCCCCCGGCGACCCCCGGGCACCGCTCTGTCCCCACCCCCCCTCCGCTGTCACCTCTCGCCTGTTGGGGACACGCAGGTGGCCCTGCCCTGCTGCCACCCCGACTGGGCACCCGCCTGTCCCCGTCAGGGGTGACACTCAGGGGGGGTCACCCTCCTCATGCCACCCCCCGGTCTGTGTCACCTCCCCGGGTGGCAGAGGTGACCACCCGCTCCTGTCCCGGGGGTGTCACCTGTGCCCTCACCCCGGGGATGCCACCTGTCCCCCCACCCCGAGGTGGCACCCAGAGGTGACCACCCGCTCCTGCCCCAGAGATGGCACCTGTCCTCCCACCCCAGGAGTGTCACCTGTCCCCCCACTCCGAGGATGTCGCCTGTCCCCACTCCGGGGATGTCACCTGTCCCCCCCGTTGCCCCTCAGTGCCATGGGATCAATGGGACAGGGGAAGGACACTTTGGGGACATTTTGGGGTCACAGCTGGACCCGCAGGGATTGAGGCGCTGCTGTCACCGTGTCCCCGATGGATTTGGGGCAGCCCGAAGCAGCCCGGGAGGTGCGGGCTGAGCCCGTCCCCGCTCGGCCGGGGGTGCCCAACCCCGTCCGTGTCCCCTGTCCCCCCCGAGGGACAAACCCCGGAGCCGCCGGGTGACAACAGCGCGGGTGAATCACCGGCGCGTCGCGGCCCCGAATGAACCCCCCTCCTCTCTCCCGGCCGGTGGCGAGCGCAGCCCCCGCGGTGGGAGCCCCCCGACCCCAAACGCCACGGGAAAAGGCTGCGGTGGCCCGGGCCCGGCGCGTGGGAGCCGCATCCCCGGCGTGGCGAGCCTGCCAAGCTCCGGGCCGGGCGGAGCGGGCAGGGAACTCCTCCGCCTCGGGGGAAAATCCGCTGTTTTCATCATCGCGGGGAGGGCTCCGCCGCCGCCGCCGCCGCCACCGAAACGCGGCCGACTCGTGGGCTGAGCGCGGCTCGGCCGGACC